GGGGGGGGGGGGGGTGTGGCTTTTGCCAGGGACGCTAGAGTTTAGTTCCTTTGGGGTCCTGTTGCTGCTTTCCTAATCAATGACAAACCCTGCTGTTGGGTACACCCTGCCATTGCTTGTAGTGCAGTTTCACATGGGGGCATGGTAACTAGGTAAAGGAGCTGGCACCTGTTCCTGCCAGTAAGGAAGGATAGCACAGCTGGAAGAACAGTTTTGCTGACTCAATGGCTTTTCCCTGTGGCCTGGGAAGGTCTTTCCTGCCTCCCCCACAATCAGCAGACAGACCCTAGACAAGTTAGCAGCATAATGACTGCAACTCCGTTGGCAGGAAGGCTGAGACTGGGCCTTGGTTCCCTGCCTCAAAATGTGTACTCCATGTCTGATTTCCCTCTGCAGGCATGGCAGTGGCTGAAGCTTTCCAACACATCCACTCCATTTACAATGCCAGTCTCCGGAGATACCTGGGCACGACCCTTTTCCTTTTCAGCTTTGCCCTGGGCTTTTACCTGCTGCTGAAGGTTCTTGGTGTTGATCTGCTGTGGACCCTGGAGAAAGCCAAGAGGTGGTGTGACCAGCCGGAGTGGGTTCACATTGACACCACCCCATTTGCTGGCCTCCTCCGGAACCTGGGCATCCTCTTTGGGCTGGGGCTGGCCCTCCACTCCCAGATGTACATGGAAAGCTGCAAAGGGAAGCAGGGCCAACAGCTGCCCTTCCGTTTGTGCTGCATCGTGGCTGCGCTCATTGTCCTGCATCTGTTGGACTCCTTCAAGCTGCCCACTGAGGTGGAGCTGCTATTCTATGGCCTGTCTTTCTGCAAGAGTGCAGCTGTACCTCTGGCTGTTGTCAGCCTCATCCCCTTCTGCATGTCCCACATTATCAGGATGCAAGAGAAGAAACTTGCATAAAAGCATTGCATGTGCAGGACTTCCTGCCTGTGGATCTACTTGTGACACTTGGGTGGTATCCATTTGGTGGCACTAACAGAATTGATACAAACTACTTCTAGTCTGGGTTTGGTTTTCCCTCCTGCCACAACATGTACGTGGCTGCTGAAGTGGGAAGAAATCCACTTGGGCTTCAGGCAAACACATTTGTTGAGCTTCCTCTTGGAAGGGATCTTAGAGGTAGGGGGGTTTTAAGCAAAAAAGAGTTGTAGGAAGCTCATGTATAGAGGGCTCCTGTAAGCTGCGGCAAAGCAGAGCATTTGACTGCAGTGGAGTACTGGCTTGGAGTCCTTGCACCATGCCACTCTAGCTTTGTCACTGAGCCTACTACAGGTATACTAGCATAGATCTTTCACCTTTCTGATGCGCATGTATCCTGTTCCTATTCCACCACACATTTGCCTTTTGCTTGTAACTACTGTATGATCTATTTAACATTGACTTCATAAGACACAATCTTTATAGTCTTCTACTTCCTAAGAGATCTGAGCTGTGGCAGTGGTTGTCTACTATCACTTTATTCAATGGGGAGGGGGGGGTCCCCTTTCTCCCCACTCCTCACTAGGGCTAGGGCAGTCTTGTACCTGTGGAGTGAAGCAACTGGAAGATAAGCTTGCTTGGGCACATGGTCTATGGAGCACATGATCTTTGCTGCTGCTGCTGCTGTTTGCCTGCATTCTCCTTTCTTCTCACAGGATAAAAATGGCTCCTTTCTGAGCAATAAGGTAACTAGGGGTAGGGCTAGTCCCACACTCAGGTGCCAGCCTACAGGCAATCTATGAATGATGGCAGCTGCCACTGTAAAAAGGCTTGTTTGGCATATGTTTCTGAGCCCTTGGCTAAGGGACATGGTATTGAAATATTTGTTTCCACTTCTCCAAACCTGGATCCACTTCTGAAGCGGACATTAGGGCAGCTCCTCACCAGACACTCCTGCACAAGGCAAAATGTGTGCCTAGTTTGCACTAATAATCCAGCCTGCAGCAATCTGTGTACTGCTCCTCAGGAGTGCAGGTATGAGGCCAAAAATTCTGTAAGACCACTTGGGGCAAAGGAGGAAAAAAAATAGCTTGATTGCCCCAGAGCCCAGTTACTATGCGCATTCAGGGACACAAACTTACCATTTTGAAGAAGCAGAAACAAGAGAGCTCTTACTACAGTAACTTTCTTTTTTTTTCTTTTTCTTTTAATCTTCTCTCTTCCCCCCCCCCCCCCCCCCC